CGCGGAGCGGCTGGACCCGTGAGCCATGGCCGCTGAGCCTGCGCGTCCGGAGCCTGTGCTCCGCAACGGGAGAGGCCACAACAGTGAAAAAATAGCATGGATTTGGAAGAAACACTTTATCACTGCATGTTTGCATTTATGTTTGAGTATCTGACCATCTAGGGATTCACTTTTTTAAAAGTTTTATGAAGACTCAAAAGAAGTTTAAAAAATACTCATCTTTTTTTTTTAATTTTAATTTAATTTTTTTTTTGCCGCTCCGCAGCATGTGGGATCTTCCCGGACGGGGGCACGAACCCGTGTCCTCTGCATCGGCAGGCGGACTCTCAACCACTGCACCACCAGGGAAGCCCCATGCTATCTTAATTGTTGGAGGCTACACCAACCTTAATATATTCTGGAAGTTATCAGTGAGCTAGTAATAACTTTATCCTATATCCATATTTTCTATAATGAAACAATTTCCCTTTTGCTTATATATACAAATGATTTCTAGTCTTGTTTTGATTTTTTTCCCCAACTTTATCATGACAAACAACTTTCTCCAGAGCTTTAAGTTTTTAAATTTCCTGGTAACGTCATTTTCACCCGATGACCCAAGGGTCCCTGACCACACATCTCTGAAATTATGTTAGCAGCTTCTGTGACTAAACAAACTCCGTGCTGGGATAATAGTGCGGTGGTGAATCTCATCAGATTAAACGTAAATCTGGAGTCCAGAGATCTGACCCAGCTCAGCCCCACCCATGCTACGTGACTGGCTCAGTTGCATAATTTCTCTGTGTTTCAGTTTTAGCCCCCTCAGGCATGTCAAGAGTAGGAAAATTAATTGTCTCAAGATACTCAAAAATGTCCCATAATCCATGAGGCCATCCCTGTCCTGAGGAGACAGTAAGGAACAGAACAGAACAAGATGTGGGATAACCAGGCTGCAGAGCTGGTAGAGTGTTAAAAAATGAAACCCTCAATGCCCACCCTAATTTTGTTTTTCCCAGAAACCCTTTCTGAAAAACTGTGTCTGGGAACTCTTGCAGTGGTCATTCCTCCTAATGCCCTGAGTCACCCTCCCTAGACACATACATTTTAGCATTTCTATCACTTGGAGTAAAACAGGACTGGGTATCTTATAGTGTTTAAGAAGACCTCCAGTCCCTCCTATAATACCAGCTATGTCTCAGGGGGACGTGGCTGTAGGCAGATCCTGCTTGGACATCACCCAAAAGAGATTAGGATGAAAGAGCGCAGAATGCCTGAAATTAAAGAGTGCCTGGTAAGTCTGCCATTAACTTGCCTTTGCTATTTATTATTCAGACTATTTTTCACCTGGTATTGATTTAACAAATACTTGCGTAGTGCCTAAAATGTCTCAGAAACTGCTCTAAGC